CATGAGCTGAGTCATGCGCTCGCGATAGCTAGGGTGAGAGAGCTCAGTGAGTAGAACTAAGTTCAAATTGAAGCAAATCGAAAGAGCTAATACTTACTGGGTGTCCTCGGGAGAGACACGCAGTTCATTGTAGAAAGTGTGATGCCAGATTTTCTCCATATCATCCCAGTTGGTGACGATACCGTGCTCAATGGGGTACTTCAAGGTCAAGATACCACGCTTGGACTGAGCCTCATCACCAACATAAGAGTCCTTCTGGTCCATACCCACCATGATGCCAGGCCTGAGCAAAAGTCAAGTAAAACCGCACTAAAGTAGGTAACTTACATCTTGGGTCGGCCGACAATAGAAGGGAAGACGCTACGCGGAGCATCATCACCAGCGAATCCGGCTTTGCACATACCACTACCGTTATCAATGACCAGAGCGGCAACTTCCTCGTCAGCCATAGTTAATTCGGTTCGAGATGAAGAAGCACAGGGAAGCTAGAATGTAAGAGCGACAGCACGCTCACACCGAAACCAAATCTTGGAGTGGGAACTATACGACCGAAGAGCATGCTTGATAGTAGGCCAAGATTCACGATGCGTATGATGAAACGGTTGGGAAACATAGCAAGTGCGCAAGATTCGCCCTACTCGTGCTTGTAGCGCTCGCCCTGAATCTGGTAATTCTAGACTACGATCTCTGTCAGGGCGTCGGGGTTGACGTTGGGCTTGATATGACTCATACGTGCACTCCACGAGTGTGGTCACGGAGGACGACCCGACGATACAAGTCTCCCCCTTTTCTTCAAGTGCGACAACGCTCATCTCGTCAAGTCTGTAATCAACTCTTGGTCACTCTTGTCTTACCCTATACTCAATTTACTCTAGTATTTTGCCGTTTCGGTGCCGTTCGGATCGTTCCTGCGTTCCTTCTGGTGTATGTGCTCCTTCTTACAATCACAGAAGCTATCGTATGTCAAAAGGCGATGTGCCACTGGACACGTAATCCACGGCGATTCAAATACCAACCTCCCCTTCTGGGCATCGATTTTACAGAGGGGCACATTTCTTGTGTACGGTTCGACGAGCTGGGGAAACCAGTGTTGGGATACTTGTTTGCTTCCTTTACCAGAGCTCAGGAGTTCCCTCACTGATTATTGAAGTTAACATACGAACACGAGTCGGCGTGTACAAAGACCGATAAGAATTTCTCGATATTAGAATTGTGTCGATATGTGAGATGTTGCCTACAGTGTCTGGTATCGTGTGCGTTTCGGATGATGCCCATGTTCCAGCTTTCCATCGGACTCGTCTGGGCAATGCTTCGGACTAGACATACCCAGAGGATAGGCCGGCGGTATTAACAACAAGTAGACAAGTTTACGATTGCGAAACTGAAATTGAGCATATCAACGCCAATTTATAATGGCCAATACTTGCTCAGGACTGCACGCAAGAACAAGG